ATCGTCTTTCTCCTTTCCTCTGTGGGGATCGTCGCTCTCCTCTCCTCTGTGGGGATCGTCGCTCTCCTCTCCCTCTCCTCTGTGGAGATCGTCTCTCTCCTCTCTCCTCTCCTCTGTGGAGATCGTCTCTCTCCTCTCCTCTCCTCTGTGGGGATCGTCTCTCTCCTCTCCTCTGTGGGGATCGTCTCTCTCCTCTCCTCCCCTCTGTGGGGATCGTCGCTCTCCTCTCCTCTGTTTGGATCGTCTCTCTCTCTCCTCTCCTCTGTGGGGGATCGTCTCTCTCCTCTCCTCTGTGGGGATCGTCTCTCTCCTCTCCTCCCCTCTGTGGGGATCGTCGCTCTCCTCTGTGGGGATCGTCTCTCTCCTCTCTCTGTGGGGATCGTCTCTCTCCTCTCCTCTCCTCTGTGGGGATCGTCTCTCTCCTCTCCTCTGTTTGGATCGTCTCTCTCCTCTCCTCTCCTCTGTGGGGATCGTCCCTCTCCTCCCTCTCTCTGGGGATCGTCTCTCTCCTCTCCTCTGTGGGGATCGTCTCTCTCTCTCTCCTCCCCTCTGTAGGGATCGTCTCTCTCCTCCCCTCCCCGGGATTGTTTCTCTCTCTCCTCCCCTCTGTGGGGATCGTCGCTCTCCTCTCCTCCCCTCTTGGGGATCGTCGCTCTCCTCTCCTCTCTCTCTGTGGGGATCGTCTCTCTCCTCTCTCTCTGTTTGGATCGTCTCTCTCCTCTCCTCTCCTCTGTGGGGATCGTCTCTCTCTCCTCCCTCTGTTCTCTCGTCTCTCTCCTCTCCTCTGTGGGGATCGTCTCTCTCTCTCTCTCCCCTCTGTAGGGATCGTCTCTCTCCTCCCCTCTGTTTGGGATTGTTTCTCTCTCTCTCCCCTCTGTGGGGATCGTCGCTCTCCTCCCCTCCCTCTGTGGGGATCGTTCTCTCCTCCCCTCTGTGGGGATCGTCGCTCTCTCTCCCCTCTGTGGGGATCGTCTCTCTCCTCTCCTCCCCTCTGTGGGGATCGTCTCTCTCCTCTCCTCTGTGGGGATCGTCGTCTCTCTCTCTCTCCTCTGTTTTCTCTTCGCTCTCTCTCTCTCTCTCCTCTGTGGGGATCGTCTCTCTCCTCTCCTCTCTCCTCTCCTCTGTGGGGATCGTCTCTCTCCTCTCCTCCCCTCTGTGGGGATCGTCTCTCTCCTCTCCTCTGTGGGGATCGTCGCTCTCCTCTCCTCTGTTTGGATCGTCTCTCTCCTCCTCTCCTCTGTGGGGATCGTCTCTCTCCTCTCCTCTCCTCTGTGGGGATCGTCTCTCTCCTCTCCTCTCTTTTGGATCGTCTCTCTCCTCTCCTCTGCGGGGGATCGTCTCTCTTCTCTCTTTCCTCTCCTCCCCTCTGTGGGGATCGTCTCTCTCCTCTGTTTGGATCGTCTCTCTCCTCTCCTCTCCTCTGTGGGGATCGTCTCTCTCCTCTCCTCTGTGGGGATCGTCGCTCTCCTCTCCTCTCCTCTGTAGGGATCGTCTCTCTCCTCTCCTCTGTTTGGATCGTCTCTCTCCTCTCCTCTGTTTGGATCGTCTCTCTCCTCTCCTCCCCCTCCCCTCTGTAGGGATCGTCTCTCTCCTCTCCTCTGTGGGGATCGTTGCTCTCCTCTCCTCCCCTCAGAAGACCCCCCAGAGAAATGCCGTCACGGGAGGGAGGGGGGAAGAGGCTGCAAAGAGGACGCAGGAGAGTCGCAGCGCGGAGCCAGGATCGCTGACATCCAGGGGGGACATGGGGCCCCCGGGGCCCCTCATTGCTGTCATTCTGTACATAGACCAGGAGAATCGGTGACACCCTTGTCAGGTCCTCCCGGCTCCCAGCACAGATCAGTGACACCGCAGCACCTGGGCCATCATCGTCACATTCTGAAGGTCATGGAGGACTTTGTGTACCTGGGAGTCGGGACCTGGGGGGGGGGGGGGGGGTCGGCACACCCTGGGGGGGTGTAGGGGGACCCCGGGGGGGAGGGGTTATCTGCTGGGGGATCAGGAATGTCATCAGATGTATGGAGGTCACACAAAGGACATGTCACCTGTACAGGTGAGTCCCCGTCCCTCCACCTGGGGGCGTCGCCATCACAGGAGCCACACCCAGCGAGAGTTACTGAGTGACAGAACATGGAGAGGTCATGGGGGGGGGGGGAGGGGGGGGGGGGGTAATAAAGAGACATTCCAGGAATTCACCCAACCACAACCCCCCCCCCCCCCACACATGATCACTGATTCACCCAGTCCTGGAATCCACCCTGCGACCTTCACCAGTCCGACAATGACAACTGATCCATCCATGATTCACCCACATGCAGGGACCCCCATCCATGATTCACCCACATGCAGGGACCCCCATCCATGATTCACCCAGAGACAGGGACCCCCATGCCATCCATGATTCACCCACATGCAGGGGACCCCCATCCATGATTCACCCACATGCAGGGACCCCCATCCATGATTCACCCACATGCAGGGACCCCCCATCCATGATTCACCCACATGCAGGGACCCCCCCCATCCATGATTCACCCACATGCAGGGACCCCCATCCATGATTCACCCACATGCAGGGACCCCCATCCATGATTCACCCACACATGGACCCCGAGGGACACCCCAGGGACCCCCATCCATGATTCACCCAGAGACAGGGACCCCCATCCATGATTCACCCACATGCAGGGACCCCCATCCATGATTCACCCACATGCAGGGACCCCCCTCCATGATTCACCCAGAGACAGGGACCCCCATCCATGATTCACCCACATGCAGGGACCCCCATCCATGATTCACCCACATGCAGGGACCCCCATCCATGATTCACCCACATGCAGGGACCCCCATCCATGATTCACCCAGAGACAGGGACCCCCATCCATGATTCACCCACATGCAGGGACCCCCATCCATGATTCACCCACATGCAGGGACCCCATCCATGATTCACCCAAATGCAGGGACCCCCATCCATGATTCACCCAGAGGCAGGGACCCCCATCCATGATTCACCCACATGCAGGGACCCCCATCCATGATTCACCCAGAGACAGGGACCCCATCCATGATTCACCCAGAGACAGGGACCCCATCCATGATTCACCCAGAGGACAGGGACCCCCATCCATGATACACCCACATGCAGGGACCCCCATCCATGATTCACCCACATGATTCACCCCCACATGCAGGGGGACCCCCATCCATGATTCACCCACATGCAGGGACCCCCCCGATCCATGATACACCCACATGCAGGGACCCCCATCCATGATTCACCCACATGCAGGGACCCCCATCCATGATTTACCCATGCAGGGACCCCGATCCATGATACACCCAAATGCAGGGACCCCCATCCATGATTCACCCACATGCAGGGACCCCGATCCATGATACACCCACATGCAGGGACCCCGATCCATGATTCACCCACATGCAGGGACCCCGATCCATGATTCACCCACATGCAGGGACCCCGATCCATGATTCACACCCACATGCAGGGACCCCGATCCATGATTCACCCACATGCAGGGACCCCGATCCATGATTCACCCACATGCAGGGACCCCGATCCATGATTCACCCACATGCAGGGACCCCGATCCATGATTCACCCACATGCAGGGACCCCGATCCATGATTCACCCACATGCAGGGACCCCCATTCATGATACACCCACATGCAGGGACCCCCATCCATGATTCACCCACATGCAGGGACCCCCATCCATGATTCACCCACATGCAGGGACCCCCATCCATGATTCACCCACATGCAGGGACCCCGATCCATGATACACCCACATGCAGGGACCCCCATCCATGATTCACCCACATGCAGGGACCCCCATCCATGGTTCACCTACATGCAGGGACCCCCATCCATGATTCACCCACATGCAGGGACCCCGATCCATGATTCACCCACATGCAGGGATTCCAATTGGGTCACTAAGGGAGTCAGGTACCAAACGTGGACCTGCCCCATGAGAGGACCCGGAGCACTACGAGGGTCAGATCACCCCCTCCCCCTCCCCCCACAGATACAGAAGACTATATTCCAGCCCTGGTGATGTCATCACTGGGTCTCTGCTCTTCTCTATGCAATACAAGCAGATCATGGCTGGTGGGAGGGCCCAGCAGGGAGCTGTATATAGCTTCCTGATAACATCCCAGCCCCCCGCCCCAGTACTCCCCTCCAGAGATCTCAGTCCTAATGTAATCAGTGGGCGGAGTTATGCAAATATCAGAATGCCTTGATGAGTGGGTATCAGCCTGGAGGTGTGGGCGGTCCTAGGCAGGCTGTATTTGCATAGTTAACGCCCACATGTAATACTAAGCCTCAATGATTGATAGAACCGGACTCCAATGAATGAAAGGGGCGGGGCCAGGGGAAAAGAGGGCTAGATGATCCTGGACCAGGGGTGGACTGACCATTTGGAAACTCGGGTACTGCCCAAGGGCCCGGGGTCAGTAGGGGGCCCCATGAGTTGTCAGTCCGCCCCTGTCCTGGACATCCTCCAGCCAGAGGCGGAGCTCTATCTGCAGCTTCTAATGCACATTGTGAGACGCTCCCAGTGTGCGGCGACATCAGAGGAACCAGGGGAGGAGCCGGTACACCTGGGCAAGACTGAAGGGGAGGAGCCGGTACACCTGGGCAAGACTGAAGGGGAGGAGCCGGTTCACCTGTGCAAGACTGAAGGGGAGGATTCGGTACACCTGTGCAAGAATAAAGGGGAGGAGCCGGTACACCCTGTGCAAGACTGAAGGGGAGGAGCCGGTACACCTGGGCAAGACTGAAGGGGAGGAGCCCGGTACACCTGTGCAAGACTGAAGGGGAGGAGCCGGTACACCTGTGCAAGACTGAAGGGGAAGAGCCCCTATACCTGTGCAAGACTGAAGGGGAGGAGCCGGTACACCTGTACAAGACTGAAGGGGAGGAGCCGGTACACCTGTACAAGATTGAAGGGGAGGAGCCGGTACACCTGTGCAAGACTGAAGGGGAGGAGCCGGTACACCTGTGCAAGACTGAAGGGGAGGAGCCGGTACACCTGTGCAAGACTGAAGGGGAGGAGCCGGTACACCTGTGCAAGACTGAAGGGGAGGAGCCGGTACATCTGTGCAAGACTGAAGGGGAGGAGCCGGTACACCTGTACAAGATTGAAGGGGAGGAGCCGGTACACCTGTGCAAGACTGAAGGGGAGGAGCCGGTACACCTGTGCAAGACTGAAGGGGAGGAGCCGGTACACCTGTGCAAGACTGAAGGGGAGGAGCCGGTACACCTGTGCAAGACTGAAGGGGAGGAGCCGGTACACCTGTACAAGACTGAAGGGGAGGAGCCGGTACACCTGTACAAGACTAAAGGGGAGGAGCCGGTACACCTGTACAAGACTGAAGGGGAGGAGCCGGTACACCTGTACAAGACTGAAGGGGAGGAGCCCGTACATCTGGGCAAGACTAGAGGGAAGGAGCCGATACACCTGTGCAAGACTGAAGGGGAGGAGCCGGTACACCTGTACAAGACTGAAGGGGAGGAGCCAGTACACCTGGGCAAGACTGAAGGGGAGGAGCCGGTACACCTGGGCAAGACTAGAGGGGAGGAGCCGATACACCTGTGCAAGACTGAAGGGGAGGAGCCGGTACACCTGTACAAGACTGAAGGGGAGGAGCCGGTACACCTGGGCAAGACTGAAGGGGAGGAGCCGGTACACCTGGGCAAGACTAGAGGGGAGGAGCCGATACACCTGTACAAGACTGAAGGGGAGGAGCCGGTCCACCTGGGCAAGACTGAAGGGGAGGAGCCGGTGCAGCTTTGCAAGACTGAAGGGGAGGAGCCGGTCCACCTGTGCAAGACTGAAGGGGAGGAGCCGGTCCACCTGGGCAAGATTGAAGGGGAGGAGCCGTACAGCTTTGCAAGACTGGAGGGGAGGAGCCGGTCCACCTGTTCAACACTGAAGGGGAGGAGCTGGTACACCTGTACAAGACTGAAGGGGAGGAGCCGGTACACCTGTGCAAGACTAAAGGGGAGGAGCCGATACACCTGTGCAAGACTGAAAGGGAGGAGCCGATACACCTGTACAAGACTGAAGGGGAGGAGCCGATACAACTGTGCAAGAATAAAGGGGAGGAGCCGGTACACCTGTGCAAGACTGAAGGGGAGGAGCCGGTACACCTGTGCAAGACTGAAGGGGAGGAGCCGGTACACCTGTGCAAGACTGAAGGGGAGGAGCCGGTACATCTGTACAAGACTGAAGGGGAGGAGCCGGTACACCTGTGCAAGACTGAAGGGGAGGAGCCGGTACACCTGTGCAAGACTGAAGGGAAGGAGGAGCCGGTACACCTGTACAAGACTGAAGGGGAGGAGCCGGTACACCTGTACAAGCCTGAAGGGGAGGAGCCGGTACACCTGTACAAGACTGAAGGGGAGGAGCCCGTACACCTGGGCAAGACTAGAGGGGAGGAGCCGATACACCTGTGCAAGATTGAAGGGGAGGAGCCGGTACACCTGTACAAGACTGAAGGGGAGGAGCCAGTACACCTGGGCAAGACTGAAGGGGAGGAGCCCGTACACCTGGGCAAGACTAGAGGGGAGGAGCCGATACACCTGTGCAAAACTGAAGGGGAGGAGCCGATACACCTGTACAAGACTGAAGGGGAGGAGCCGGTACACCTGTGCAAGACTGAAGGGGAGGAGCCCCGTACACCTGGGCAAGACTAGAGGGGAGGAGCCGATACACCTGTACAAGACTGAAGGGGAGGAGCCGGTACACCTGGGCAAGACTAGAGGGGAGGAGCCGATACACCTGTGCAAGATTGAAGGGGAGGAGCCGGTACACCTGTACAAGACTGAAGGGGAGGAGCCAGTACACCTGGGCAAGACTGAAGGGGAGGAGCCCGTACACCTGGGCAAGACTAGAGGGGAGGAGCCGATACACCTGTGCAAAACTGAAGGGGAGGAGCCGGTACACCTGTACAAGACTGAAGGGGAGGAGCCGGTACACCTGTGCAAGACTGAAGGGGAGGAGCCGTACACCTTGCAAGACTAGAGGGGAGGAGCCGATACACCTGTACAAGACTGAAGGGGAGGAGCCGGTCCACCTGGGCAAGACTGAAGGGGAGGAGCCCGTACACCTTGGCAAGACTAGAGGGGAGGAGCCGATACACCTGTACAAGACTGAAGGGGAGGAGCCGGTCCACCTGGGCAAGACTGAAGGGGAGGAGCCGGTACAGCTTTGCAAGACTGAAGGGGAGAAGCCGGTACACCTGTTCAAGACTGGACGGGAGGAGCCAGGGGTGTTGGGGGTACTGCGAGTCACTATTGGAGATTGGGTCACTGTGGTCCTCTATGGGGTGTTGTGGGCCTCTATGGGGTGTTAAGGGCACTGTGGGTCACTATGGGGTCTTGGGGGCACTGTGGGCCTCTATGGGTGTTGGCGGCACTGTGGGCCTCTATGGGGTGTTTGGGGCACTGTGGGCCTCTATGGGGTGTTGGGGGCACTGTGGGCCTCTATGGGGTGTTGGCGGCACTGTGGGCCTCTATGGGTGTTGGCGGCACTGTGGGCCTCTATGAGGTGTTGGGGGCACTGTGGGCCTCTATGAGGTGTTGGGGGCACTGTGGGCCTCTATGGGGTGTTGGTGGCACTGTGGGCCTCTATGGGGTGTTTGGGGTCACTCTGGGAGCTTGAAGGCCCTGTGGTAAGTTGGGGGATCCACAGTTGGCTCGTGGCCCGGGAGGAGGAAGGCTACACCCCAGCTGCAGGCAATGGCTCGGTGGTTGGGGCCGCTGTCCCAGAATCCCCGTTGGGTGCCGGAAGGACGTCACCAAGAAGGTTCTCAGCCCCGAGGAACCCCAACCTCAGGGAAGGTCTGTCAGGGGAATTCTTTATCCATTGTGCGGAGTTCCTCCTAGGTGGCCCTGGACTGTCAGTGTTGCCCCTGGGATCCAATCATTACGGATCTGATGGGGGCTGTTTGTATCGGTGACCCTCCCCCATCATTGCCTGATAAAGAGAACCTGTCTGTGGAGGATTCTGGGACGTTCCTCTGGCTGGTGGCCCTTTGCCCCGCCCATTCCCATGGTCTGCTGGGTGACTTGTGATTAATGGAGGTAATAAAAGTCAAAGCTCCTCGGCAGTCAGATCTGCGATAAGAAGGCTTCAGAGTCCACCAACGTTCTGCACTTTGGACCGCCTCTCCTCTCATCCTTACATAAGGCCACGTATTCCTGGAAAGGATGGTTTATGAGCCAATCAGGCCACACCTTTCAAGGAGGACCTGTCATGGCGCTGGAGAAGAACGGCTGAAGGTCAAATCCCATCTTTACTAAACTCCATTCTCTGGCAGGGATACCCGAACCACCGACCAGCAGATGTGGTCACCACAGACCACCACTGGTCATGGGGCAGCTACTAGGGGTCCCTCAAGGGGGACTTCTGAGAAAGATCTGTTCAAGGTCATTGCCTATAGATATCCATAGGTAGCTCTGTGACAGTGGTGACGTGTGGTGGTGTGCTCAGTGGTCACGTGTGGTGGTGTGCTCAGTGGTCGCGTGGGGTGGTGTGCTCAGTGGTCACGTGGGGTGGGGTGGTCGGTGGACCCATATGCTGTGTGCTCAATGGTTTCATGCGATGGTGTGGTCAGTAGTTACATGTGGTGGTGTGCTCAGTGGTCACGTGTAGTGTGGTGGTCAGGTGTGGTGCTCAATGGTTACATGTGTTGGTGTGGTATGTGGTTTGGTGGTCTGTGTTCACATGTGGTTGGGTGGTCTGTGGTCACATGTGGTTGGGTAGTCTGTGGCCACATGCGATGGTGTGCTCAGTGGTCACATGTGGTGTGTGGTCAGTGGGCCCATATGCTGTGTGCTCAACGGTTTCATGTGATGGTGTGGTCAGTAGTTACATGTGGTGGTGTGCTCAATGGTCACGTGTGGTGTGGTGGTCAGGTGTGGTCGGTGGGCCCATATGCTGTGTGCTCAATGGTTACATGTGTTGGTGTGGTATGTGGTTTGGTGGTCTGTGTTCACATACGGTGGGGTGGTCACATGTGGTTGGGTGGTCTGTGGTCACATGTGAGGGTGTGGTCACATGTGGTTGGGTAGTTTGTGGTCACATGCGATGGTGTGCTCAGTGGTCACATGTGGTGTGTGGTCAGTGGGCCCATATGCTGTGTGCTCAATGGTTACATGTGATGGTGTGCTCAGTGGTCACGTGTATTGTGTGGTCAGTAGTCACATGTGGTGGGGGTCATAGTGGCAATGTTGTCAGTCATGGTGGAGGGTTGTGGACTCCCCTCCAGTTCTGTGTCTCCTTCGATATGAAGGTTGGACCTTACACCGGCCCATTCTGAAGCTCCTATTGTGGTGGGCTGAACACGTCCTATTGGTGGGCTGAACACGTCCTATTGGTGGGCTGAACACGTCTGGGTCGGGTCCGGAGAACACGCACAGTACTCAGCACAACGTGGACCGTGAAGAAGGGGAACACCCCAAAAATTGTCCTGAAAAATTGGGATGTTAGTGCAAATATAAAGGTACCAGACCCGTATCCTAGATGAGCCCCCAACCCACCCGCAGACCCCCACAACCACCAGGCCAGGGTTGTGGGGAAGAGGCCCTCATCCTCATCTCTACCCCCCCCCATGTTGAGGGCATGTGGCCCGGTGTGGTCAAAGAAGTGGCCCATGTGTGTCTTCTCCCCCCCCCTTTTCTGGATGCTCAGAAGTTGAAGGGGTGGAGAACTTGAGGGGAGACCTTTTTTTATTTTTTTGGCATCTGCCCCCCCCTTAAACTTCATACCAGACCTGAAGGGCCAGGTTGGTCTTACGGGGGCCCCATTATCTGGGCTCCGTTGTGTACATGGAGGGGATTTACAAACACCAAATAGAAGGGGTTTTTCCCCATTTTACGATGGGGGGGACCTAAAAATCATTCTTCATGCCCCCAGGCAACCTGTCCATCCAGAACCGCCGCTGTCCAGCACAGACGCACCTGACATCGGACCACCATTGTCCTCCCTTTGGAATGCTCTTCCTGCAGAGGGCGCTCCACCAACGCCACAGTATGGTGGTCTCTGCCGCGGGGTCCTGGGGAAGTCCACCATGTGACCAATGTCTTGGCACTGACCACATGACCGGCCAGGTTTTTGAGAATTTTTGTTGAGGGGAGTATTTTTGTTGGGGGAGGGGCCCCCTATGCTTTCAATGTTTTCAGATGAAGGAGAGAAGCTAGGACCCTGGAGGAACCGGAGAGAAGCTAGGACCCTGGAGGAACCGGTCAGAAGCTAAGATTCTGGAGGAACCGGTGAGAATCTAGGATTCTGGAGGAACCGGTGAGAAGCTAGGACCCTGGAGGAACCGGTCAGAAGCTAAGATTCTGGAGGAACCGGTGAGAATCTAGGATCCTGGAGGAACCGGTGAGAAGCTAGGATCCTGGAGGAACCGGTGAGAAGCTAGGATCCTGGAAGAACCGGTGCGAAGATACCATCCTGGAGGAACCGGTGAGAAGGTAGGATCCTGGAGGAACCGGTCAGAAGATACCATACTGGAGGAACCGGCGAGAAGCTAGGATCCTGGAGGAACCGGTCAGAAGATACCATACTGGAGGAACCGGTGAGAAGCTAGGATCCTGGAGGAACCGGTGAGAAGCTAGGCTCCTGGAGGAACCGGTCAGAAGATACCATACTGGAGGAACCGGTGAGAAGCTAGGATCCTGGAGGAACTGGTCTCGGCTCCCCCTGACAAGTCTCAGCCGGTATTTCCATCATCCTGCAGAGAGACGTCGGCCGTTCCCATGATCCTCCGCACACAACGAGGTCTGCCAGGTCAGCCGCTGACGCTTCTATCATTCCAGAGCCTCCAG